TAAGCTTAAATTAACGATTACGCAAATAACTGCGATTCTTTTTAACTATCATTTCACCCTACACATTCTCCTTCAACACGCAAGTGTTTATTTAAAACTATGATATCGAGGCAATTCAAACACTTCCTCCGTGCGATATCTCAGATACTGCACTATCAAAATATCAATACAGTCCATCTAAAAGGTGACAACGCATTTGATTCTTAATCGACGATAAATTTAGATGTCTATAGGCTACAACATCCACTTACCACTAAGTGGACTATGTGCTCGTTTTTCACCCCCATTCTATTATAAAAATATACGGTTATGATTGATATTTGAAAAACCTTTAATAAAATAAATATATTTATTATTCAACTATTTTCTTTTTACTACTCTTTTTGTTTGTACAGTTCAATGATTTTCTTTTTTTAGCGAAAATTTAAATAAAATAAATTTTTCCTAAACGTTTTGTGAACCATTTAGAAGTTAGAAGAAGCAGCTGTAATACGGTAATATCACAAATGGGGTCAGCTCAACTGCAGAAGGACCATACTCTCTCAGAATACCAGCGTAAAATAGCAACTTTATGCTGCTGTGTTTTGTAAGTTGAGTGTAGAGAACCGGAGATCTTTTTCACGAATAACAACGAGTCATTTGATATTAGTCCTGAGGACGAAGGTTACAACGCATCTAATCAACGCTCGTCTTTAACTCATATTCTGTAAAGTAAAAAACGTAATTAAAATAATTAAACAAACACAACTACGCAGTAACATAGAAGTACAGAAGAGAGAGAGAGAGAGAGAGAGAGAGAGCGAGAGAGAAAGAAAGAGAAAATAAGAGTCAAGTTGTGCAAAAAGAATCCATCACCTCATTTTGTCACATGTAAACAAGTGCGAAACAGTACCTTCTAAATCAAGGCTATGTCATTTACGTATGCGCTAAAGTACAAAATATGCGCTTTCATTAATACGAATATGCTTGGTTGATGTTAATATACACCAACCAAGCATTGACCATCATCTGACGAAACAATGCTTCTAGTGAAGACCCACAATTCCCAAGCAATATACTATGTTTGACAATTGACGTATGCACTATTCACAACACGACTTATTATGGCTTACTCAGGGCGTGGGCAATATTTTAAATTATATGCAAGTTTAGTGCAAGATAACTTGGTAGTATCGTAGTAGAGTTTATTGGGCAAGGTGTAGAAACTTGCTCAATGAACGCGTCGTTTTAGAGTAGAAGCAATTCAATCAAAGCTTTATTATGTGTGCGGGTTTGGTATAAAATGACTAAATATAAAACATAATTTCGTGGTATAATCCACGAATCTGGTTCTCAGTTAGCCCTCTATTACGAATATGCAAAAAATATAACTAGTACTACACTACAACCGTATCACCTACCACATATAAACATATTGTGAGTAAAAATGAACAAAAGAGATTTAGATATTTCTGGCTTTCCCACATACATTTTAAGTGTCTTGTGATTTTTTAAGAAAAGATAAAAGTGTTTCTTTTGATGTTAATAACACATCATTATATTCAAACGGAGCCGTGGAGGCTCATTGACTAAGCACTTGCTGCAAATCTCACTGTACTCTAGAAACCTGGTTCTAATCCCCGTCTGCGCCATTAAATTGTTCAATTTTAAAAGCTATTTTACTACGTTCTCTGCAGTGAAGGAAAATATCGAAATTAAAAAAATCAAGACATTTGAAGTCTACCAACACGGTAATTTTCTAGCCCCAAAACCCTCTTAGAAATGAGAGATTTCCTATGCGTCCTATACGTCCATATGTAGGGTATAATTTTACTTTATATCATGTAATAAAAAACCTTTGATTTGTCTGCAACTTTGTCATAAATAAAGTATTATTCTAGTTATTACAACCCTCTGAACAAACGAAAATACTATTTATATTTTATAACATCTTGTTTGTCATTTCCGATATTCAAATAACTAAAACAAATATTTAGTCTCTATTAGTTTCGTTTATACTTTTTACTAGATAGTAGAACTCCTATTCTGCCCACTCCTCATTGACCCGGTCATTGGAAAAGTGGTAAAACGCAACCGTCGGAACTTCTCCACCGCCTGGATAGACTGCAGACAGGCATTTGACTCGGTGCCCCATACATGGCTAAAGAGGGTCCTCGAGCTGTACAAGATTGATTGTACAGTTTAAGACTTCCTCGAGCAATGTATGGGGCAGTTGAGAACGATCCTCTGACATCTAGGCGAGCGGATGGCGACTGCGGAAAGCCGCATAAGGATAAGAAGGGCTATATTCCAGGGTGACTGTCTGAGTCCAATCTCTCAGTACATTACTGGAAGGCTCCGGGAGGGGTTTTCAGCTTCGGAAAGGAGGTACAAAAGTGACCCACCTGTTCTATATGGATGACCTCAAATTATTCGCCTCCAGTGGCTCCCATCTTATGGAATTGCTAAACATCACTTGTGAATTTAGCAATTTCATTGGAATGGAGCTGGGGACGGATAAGTGTGCGATCCTCCGTGCTGAAAGGGGAAGGGTTGCCAACTCTGAGGGCAAAGACTTATCTACGCCCGTCAAGTGAAGGACCCTTTCCGAGGCTGAAACATACCGATACCTGGGTATGTCACAGAACATCGGTATCGATGAGCCTGCTATGAAACAGTCAGTTTGCGACGTATTTTATACACGCTTGACCTAAGTGCTTAACAGCCTTTTGTCCGGTGTGAATAAGACACACACATAAAACGGCTAAGTCATGCCTGTTCTCATGTATACCTTTGGCATACTTGGTGGACTCTGACTGAACTTAACGCCCTGGATAGAAAAGTCCGCATTACCATGACGTCCCATAGGATGCATAATCCGAGATCGTCGGTAATGAGGCTGTACTTGCCGCGAAAGCACGGTGGGCGTGGCTTTCTGACCGCGCTCACCATGCATAATCGCGAAGTGTGCAGCCTCCGCAATTACTTCCTGGCGAGATCGGATGATCCATTCTATAATGACGTCATTTCTGGTGATAAACGGCTTACCCCTCTATGCTTAGTCAACGAGCAATTGCAGGACCGGGCAGTCAAAGCATTTCCGACCGGGAGACCGTATGGAAGGAGAAGGAGCTCCACGGGAGGTACTACAGGGCTCTACATGAGCCCTTCGTAGATACAGTCGCCTCCCTCAACTGGCTACGTTTCGGTGACCTCTTCGGAGAAACCGAAGGTTTTGTCCGTGCAATACAGGATCAGGTTATTAAGACCAACAACTATCGGAGATACATCCTAAAGGATGGCACTGTCGACGACTGTCGAGCTTGTCGCCATCCCAGGGAGTCACTTAGGCATGTCATTTCAACTCTGAGTACTTGCACAGGCACTACATAGTAGCCAGAATTCTACACTAGGAGCTGGCTCTGAAATAAGGTCTCGTGGACAGGAAATTGCCGTATTAAAAGTACTTGCCGGAAGCCTTGCTCGAAAATGACCGCGCCAGGTTCTACTGGGACCGGGCCACTATCACAGGCAAGACTATTCTTGCGAATAAGCCTGATATTGTGCTGATGGACCGGGCACAATCAAGTACATTTTTGGTCGAGATTACCATTCAGTATGACGAGAAACTCGTGAAATCCGAAACAGATAAACGAACAAAATATCTGGACCTGGCTCACGAGGTGACCGACATGTGGGGTAGTCTGCCGGCCGATATTATTCCTATAGTCGTCTCTGCGAATGGGTTAGTCCCAGTCAGTCTCTCGGGTCATCTGAGGTGACTGGGACTCCGTAACGGACCGCTCCGGGATCAAATGCAGAAGGCGGTGCTCCTCGATACCGCCCGCATCGTCCGCCGGTTTCTTTCCCTTTTCTACGAACCCTCGGCCGTTTGGTCTCCCCTGCCGGGGGCTTCCATCTGGTTGGATCTTATTTATTTATGTATTTTTGTATTTATTTTATTTATTGATATTTATGTATATTTATCTTTTCATTTTAATTTAAAATTATATATTTATAGAACCCAACCAGATGAGAAAATTATATAGATACCCCAAATAATAATAAATTTTATATCTATATTTATAACATAAAACCCAATCATATCCATTTAAAGTAATTGGATACATTTTTATGTGCCTGTTTTGTTTTCACAGTTTGCTAAGAATTTATTAAAAAAGAAAGAAAGAAAAATATATTTATTACAACAAACAACACCAATACACATATTACAAAAGATATTATAGGCTAAACAACATATAAATACAGACCTATAAAAATCCTAGATAAAATGGAAACAATTCAATCAAAGCTTTATTATGTGTGCAGGTTTGGTGTAAAATGACTAAATATAAAACATAATTTCGTGGTATAATTCACGAAGCTGGTTCTAAGTGCGCCGTCTATTGAATAAGGTATGGGCGAATATGCAACAACTACAACTAGTACCACACTACAACTGTATCACCTACCACATTTAAACATATTGTGAGTAAAACAGAACAAAAGAGATGTAGATATTACTACAATATTACTGTCTTTATAATAATTACATCTATTACGCATATATTTTTATTTCTATTTCTATATAATGAATTACCACTTCGATATTTCTGTTATATTACATATGACAACTTCTAATAATATAATTGCGTTTAGTTTATGATTATATTACGTTTATTTATTAAAATATTTTTACTGATATTGATAATTAATCCCAAGTTCTAAAAATATAAAACTACATCAAAATTAATGGCTTAGTTGCCTCAATATCTGGTATTAATTCTATACCAAAACAACGAAAAAAGTATGCGGTACTAAATCTGCCGTATCCCTTTATAATGTTTTGTTATATGTCATTTAATTTTGATTTAATAATTATTATAATAATATATCTCTCTAGTGAGAGAGCTTTGATAGTTTGTTCAATATTATAAAGTAATTTTAAAGACTTATTTGGAATAACTTTTGAGTATAAAAGAAGAATCTGCGAAATAAATAATATTTTGCAAAATAACAAAATGTCAAGTAAGAGCTCAAAGCTTACTTTTTAACAGAAAATAAAATAAATGTAGTGCAGTAAAAAGCAGATTCTGTAGTTAAAGCCAATTTAATGAGGCCTAACACTTTACGCGGTGCAAAAAATTTAAGAGTTTTTTTTCATCTATTTTATAATCTTCATTTAAGGCGCTAACAGTTTTGGTATTTTTTCATTGATTTTAATTATTTTATGTACTTACACAAAGTTTAGTCACAAAGTCAAAAATTTTGGGATTTATCTGATGTCAATTTCCAATAGCCTTTTTCAATTTTCTAAATAATATTGTTTAAATATTAAGCCACATAATATAAACTTTTTATTAATAGAAAACACGGAGATCAAAATGTAAAAATATAAATAAAATAATTTCTAGTTACCAATAAGTCAGTCTAAGACAGTGTATATAGGCCTTAATAACTTTAATTATTTTATATACAGTCAGTATATAAAATAATTAAAGTTATTAAGGCCTTGATTTCAGAAGCTTTTATGTAGAATATTTAAGTGTTTTCAGTTTTCACCTATCCTCTAATTTTTCAATTTTTTAACGTCCCTTATGTAAACCTATTTAATAAAATATATTTAAATTGGTTCTCCTATTACCGAGAATTTTTTCATGGCATTTTTAGGAGAGGCCTCTGTGCAGCAACTGACTTGTGAATAGCGGTAATTATTATTGTTACTGCGAAATTGAAAAACATATACCAAAACGAACGCGTTGAATATAGAGCCTCCAAATTTTTTTAAACCGAATAAAAACGTCTTTCGTATTCAAATTGATACGGTGATGTTCTCTCACTCGTTAATGCAAACACTTGGAAACGAATTTAATTGAACAAGTACCTACTACCCGTGCACGGTAGCTCATTTCGTATTAATGAATTTCATTTCAATTCATCGCATTGTTACTGATGCCGATGTAGAGTCAAACGAAAATCTATTGACTTTCATCGGTCATACATCGTAGTTCAATGATTTATATGTTCATATTTGAAATTAGTCGAATGGTTGGTTCATCGATCAATAAAACATTGTACTATATTTTTTTCAAGTTATAATTGAAAATGAAGATATATTACAATATTATATTACATTTGTAATTATTAATAATATAATACAATATAAGCTGTTCCTCGCAACTTGACCCGCGCGTAATTTATTACGATTGGATTGCATGGGTTTTAATTTTTTTTTGCGCGGGACTTTATGTTTTTTTTTTAACAAAGGTAGCCTGAGTTACTCTTTATAACATCAACCTGCCTGTTCTGTCATAATCGATCTATTCGTTTCACAAATTAGCAGGAACAAATAGACAGACAGACCGACAGAAATTTTAAAAATTGTTTTTTTATTGTTGTGAGTACCGTATATACTTTCATATGCATTAGGTAAAAAGCTGTTTTAATTTTGACGTCACAAACAGACACTTTAATTTTATTATTTGTATAGATAATAGTATAATATAGCCATTCAGCGAGGAAACGCAGCCAGAGTTCGTGGCACGATACCAAGATGATTAGAACTGTACCATAATATTTAAATTTATTTTTTGGTTTTTTTTTTAATCAAATGTTCAAGTATTGTGTTAATCTATAATTAATTATAAAATATATTATAATAAAATTTTATCTATAATTAATATGACCAGCGTGTTCTGTTCCATTCATGCTTCATTTAATTTCTTGCATTTTATTACAAATGTGTATTTTCTGTCAGAAAACTTCGCACGCTCTTAAAACATCTGACCAAAAATCTATCATAATTGGATTAATACTTTAGGAACACAAGGAAGACGAACAAACAAACAAATTAATTTTATACATTGTAACCTACAGTCAATATTGTGCGGCCTCTCACTACGCCCGCCATGTCGTGTGTGTAAGAAAATCCACTGACCATTAATGTGATCCCGTGGGTGTCGTAAGAGGTGACAGAGGAAAACTAATGCAGGGGTTAGCCAAGAGAATCTTCCCGATACCGACTCAAAGTAATAAAAAACCTGCAGTTGCCATTGATATGAGAAAGTCTATGAAGGCGGCCTATGATCAGCAGTGGACTTTGTTAGCAGGTATTGAAGATAACATTCGCTGTCTCTTATACTACTTTACTAATTGGAATAATCTAATTTTTTATATGAATTTAATTAAATTATTTTTGCATTCCTGTTTTGTTAACAAGGAAGTATAATACTGAATATTGATGAGCTCAGACTTTGACAATGACGATGACTATGACTATGAAGATGACATAGACGATGACAATGACGATGACGATGACGATGGCAAAGACAATGACGATGACGATGATGATGATGACGATGACTATAATGACGATAATGACGATGACGATGAGGATGACAATGGCGCTGACGGTGACGATGAAGATGACTATGACGATGACGAGGATGATGACGATGATGATGACAATGGCAATGATGATGACGATTACGATGACGAATACGAGGACGAAGACGATGACGATGACGATGACGATGACGATGACGATGACGATGACGATGACGATGAAGATGACTACGACAATGACGATGAAGATGACTACGACAATGACGATGACGATGACGATGTAAATGACGATGACCTTGAAAAGACGGTGACGATGATGATGACTATGACGATGACAATCACGATGACGATAATGATGAAGATGATGACGACGATGACGATGGGAAAGTCAATGACAATGACTATGACTATGACTTTGATGATGACTGATGGCGATTACGATGGTGATGACCTTAGCGACTACGATGACTATTACGATGACAATGACGATGACGATGACAAAGACGATGACGATGACTATGACTATGACGTTGATGATTATTGATGGCGATTACGATGGTGATGACCTTAGCGACTACGATGACTATGATGATGACAATGACAATGACGACGACAAGGACGATGACGACCACGACGACGATGTCGTCAACGATTGTGATAACTTTAACAACGACGATGACTATGACTGTGACGATGACATAGACAATGACGACGACGATGACGATGACGTCAACGATTATGATTACTTTGACAATGACGATGACTATGACTATGACGATGACATAGACAATGACGATGACGATGACTATGACGATGACGATGACGATGACGAGACGATATGACGACGACGATGACTATAGCGACGACCTTAGCGACTACGTTAACTACGACAATGACGAGGATGATGACGATGTAAATGATGATGACCTTGAAAAAACGGTGACGATGATGATGACTATGACGATGACGATCGCGATGACGATGATGATGAAGATGATGACGATGATGACGATGAGAAAGACAATGACAATGACTATGACTATGACTGATGATGACTGATGGCGATTACGATGGTGATGACCTTAGCGACTACGATGACTATTACGATGACAATGACGATGACGATGACAAAGACGATGACGATGACGATGACTATAGCGATGAAGATGACGACGACGATGACCTTAACGATGACGATAACTTTGACAATGACGATGACATAGACAATGACGATGACGATGACAAAGACAAAGACGATGACAAAGACAATGACAATGACTATGACAGTGACGTTGACGATGACTGATGGCGATTACGATTGCGATGACCTTAGCGACTACGTTAACTATGACGATGACAATGACGGTGACGATGACAAAGACGATGACGATGATTATGACTATGACGTTGATGATGACTGATGACGATTACGATGGTGATGACCTTAGCGACTACAATGACTTTGATGATGACAACGACGATGACAAAACGATGACGATGACGATGACGATGACGTCAAAGATGATGATGACTTTGACAATGACGATCACTATGACTATGAAGATGACATAGACGATGACGATGACGATGACTATGACGATGACGATGACTATGACGATGACGATGTCTATGACTATGATGTTGACATAGACAATGACGATGAAGATGACTATGACGATGACGATGACGATGACGACGACGATGACAAAGACAATGACGATGACGATGACGATGACAAAGGCAATGGCAATAACTATGAAAATGAAGATGTCGATCACGATGACCATGACGATGACCATGACGATGACAATGACGATGACGGTGAAGATGACTATGACGATGACGATGACGATGACGATGACGATGAAGATGACTATGACGATGACGATGACGATGACAAAGACAATGACGATGACGATGACGATGACAAATGTAATGACATTAACTATGACTATGACTATGACGATGACGATGACCATAACGATGACGATGACGATGACGATGATGAAGATGAATATGACGATGACGATGACGATGACGATGTAAATGACGATGACGTTGAAAAAGACGATGACGATGATGATGACGATGACAATGACGATGACGATGACACTGATTATGACTATGAAGATGACTATAGTGATGAAGATGACGATGACGTGGAAGTTGACGACGATGTTGTTGATGACGATAACGATGATAATGACGATGACTATGACTACGACGATGATGATGACGACGACGACGATGACTAGGACGATGAAGATAACGATAACGATGACGATGACGATGACGATGACAAGGACAATGACGATGACGATGACAATGACGATTGCGATGACGATGACGATGACAAAGACAATGACGATGACGATGACAATGAAGATGACTATGACGAAGACCAAGACAATGAGGATGATGACTACGATGACGATGACGATGACAAAGACAATGATGATGACGATGATGATGACAATGGCGATGACGATGACGACGACGATGACGATGACGATGACAAAGACAATGGCGATTGTGATGACGATGACGATGACAAAGACAATGACGTTGACGATGTCGATGACGCTGACGATTACGATGACGATTACGATGTAGATGACTATGACGATGACGATGACGATGACGATGAAGACAACGATGCGATGACGATGACGAAGACCAAGACAATGAGTACGATGACTACGATGACGATGACGATGTCGATGACAAAAACAATGACGATGACGATGACGATGATGATGACAATGGTGATGACGATGACGACGACGATGACCTTAGTGACTACGATGAGTATGACGATGACGATGAATGACGACGACGATGACGATGACGATGACAAAGACAATGGCGATTGCGATGACGATGACGATGACAAAGACAATGACGTTGACGATGTCGATGACGCTGACAATGACGATGACGATGACGATGAAGATGACTATGACGATGACGATGACGATGACGAAGACCAAGACAATGAGGATGATGACTACGATGACGATGACGATGACAAAAACGATGACGATGTCGATGACAAAAACAATGACGATGACGATGACGATGATGATGACAATGGTGATGACGATGACGACGACGATGATTATGACAATGGCGATGACGATGACGGTGACGATGACGATGATGATGAAGATGACTATGACGATGACGATGACGATGACGATGACGATGACAAAGACAATGACGATGACGATGACGATGACGATGACAAATGCAATGACATTAACTATGACAATGAAGATGTAGATCACGATGACCATGACGATGACGATGACGATGACAATGACGATGACGGTGAAGATGACAATGTCGATGACGATGACGATGACGATAAAGATGACTATGTCGATGACGATGACGATGACGATGATGATGACAATGGCGATGACGATGACGGTGACGATGACGATGACGAATGACTATGACGATGACGATGACAAAGACAATGACGATGACGATGACGATGACGATGACAAAGACAATGACGATGACGATGACGATGACGATGACAAAGACAATGGCGTTGACGATGTCGATGACGCTGACGATGACGATGACGATTACGATGAAGACGACGATGCGATGACGATGACGAAGACCAAGACAATGAGGATGTACTCGATGACGATGACGATGACGATAAAGATGATGATGACGATGACGATGACGATGACGATGATGATGACCGATGACGATGACGTGACGATGACGATGACGAAATGACGATGACGATTACGATGACAAAGACAATGACGATGACGATGACGATGACGAAGACACAATGACAAGATGACGATAGATGACGATGACGATGACGATGACGATGCCGATGACGATGACAAAGACGATGACGATGACGATGACGATAAAGATGACTATAATAATATATATATATATATATATATATATATATATATATATATATAATAATAATAGTGTCTTAAATTATTTTGTAATGAACAAGGAATGTTTTCTTTCTTTTTTTGTTGCTAATGCATCTTGGTTGGCCAAGGATTATGTGCATTGAATTTCCTAGAGGTATTAAGCTCAGGATTTCTTTTAAGGAATCTTAACCCTAGAGTGGGCGCGCTATGAGCATTTTGCTAAAAAAAACGGTTATAATTTTTAAAACAACTGCCCGTTAGGTTTGCGCTTTTTTAGTAGCTGCCCCCATTCTCGCTAGCAACGCGTGCCGAAAGGCTGGACGCCGTCAGTTCGCGGGGGACCGCTTGAGGAGCAAGTTATTACAATCAGGTGTCACCGGACGGCGAATCGCTCACCGCGCGCCCACTCACGTAAGTAATATTGTGTAATGTATTTTTTGCAAACTTGAAGGGTAGACTATATTTTATGGTGCATTTATAATTAAAACTGAAAAAATATTTTTGTTTTAGGACTTAAAAGTATCTATTAACACTCCATTAGTCGCGCGTTCTACTATTGTAGAACAGGCATGCATTTCGTGGGATTTTAACATTAATTGTGGGTGTCTAACGCACACACTCATAGTATTCCTCTATTACTAACTGGTGATCACAATTAGTACCCTTGCGGCAAACTGCGCGATCGCACTTCTTAGAAATTTCGCACAAAAACTAAAGTTCTACAATAGTAGAGCGCGCGAGCACTTGCGTGTCATTTTTGTCGGAAGTTTACCTATCGTTTTTATTTTATGTAAGTGTTTATATTATGTATAAATAGTGTTATTATGAATTTTTTATTCGATAATATTATTTTTAACCGAAGTAACTATATTTCGCACAATGATGGCACATATTTTGAGATGGTTGGAAGAAGTCAGTTATAAGCAACCAGCAAAGTATGGGATTCACATATTTTTACTAATGGATACAAAGGTACCTTATGCCTACCATATGGAAATATATGCAGGTGCTCAGCCAGATGGTCCTTATGCACAATCAAATAAAGTTGTGGACATTGTGCAACGAATGCTTACCCCATTGGATGGTTTAGGTTATAACGTCACAATGCACAATTGGTTCACGAATATACCTCAATGCTTAGAACTCTTAGGTAGCAAAATTACTGTCGTAGGCACTGTGAAGAAAAATAAGCCACAAATTCCCAAAGAACTCAAAATCACAAGAAACAGAAGCGAAACGAGTTCAATTTTTGGCATTCAAAAACAAGGTACTTTAATATCTTACATGCCAAAATCAAAGAAAGTGGTGCTTATTTACTCAACTATGCACTATAATGATCATATCGATTTACAAACAGCAGAGAAACGTAAGCCGGAAATAATAACTTTTTACAACAATACCAAATATGGCGTGGACATTATTTGTAGTATTTAAGACGTCTCCAAAAATTCTAGGCGATGGCCACTTACCATTTTTTTCAATTTAATGAATATAAGTGCTATAAACGGTTATATTGTACATACAAAAAACAAGGACTACAGAAATAAGGTCAGGAGGGATTTTTTATATGAACTTGGTTTTCACCTAGTCGCGCCATGCATACAACACAGAATAAATATTGAAAGTATTCCAAAATCATTGAAAATGAAAGGGAAAATGCTTTTGGGCATGAAAGAGCCATCGAAATTACAACCATGCCCAGCACAACTCCCCAATACTGGTCGAGTCGGGAAATGTTCGTTTATGTGACACCTGTAAAAAGTGGATTCGTCCTCAACATCAAGTTCTTCAACGCCTTGACTGTTGTAAAAATGATAAAGACTGTGTGAAAGATACGAGCGAGTAAAAAAGGAGACTGAGAAGTTTTGATGCCAAAAAATCATTGATTTTTCTCAAAATTCACTAAAAGTCTGATATTAAGTGCCTAATAAATGGTAACAGTTATGGTTGCGCGAAAAACCATTCGTATTTATTTTATTTGACGGTAGGCTGCCAAATCGGTTACCCCTTTCCAAAACGATATCATTCATACCCTCCTATCGACACATCGGGGTTGTGGGGTGGGAGGGAAAAGAAGATGATTCTAGAACATCACGTAATCATCGGAACCGAGGATATATAAGGGCACGCGCGACCGACGCGCGCCGTCTTCCCGCCGCGCTCGTCGTTGAAACCACACCGCCTAGGATAATAGTGTCCTAAAGAGCTCTTCCCGCCGCGCTCGCCGTTGAAACCACACCGATTCTCTCCCGACGTATCTCTGGGGCCCCAGAGTGTCTGTCCAGAGGAGGTTCCAGAAATCGCAGTTATAGTGCTCGACCGCATAGAAGAAACATCCCGGTGAGTCAATATCCAATATTATAACCTGCTTGATATAATTGTTTTAACCCGCTCCAATTTTGTGTTTTCCTAATCAAGCAGGATTCCTTTCATCGATTTGGCAAATAATAGTTCATTTTAGGGAAGAGCGAGTGCATTGTACCGCATATATAAGTGTAGAATCATTTTGTAGATACAGTCCACTTAGATTAATATCTCGCGTAATAGGTTTAAGGTTCGACCGGGGAACTAGACTTCGGCAGCTTTAAACACGTGGCTCCACCATTTTATGGTCACTTCGGCAGGATTTGCACTGGTGTTTAGAGGTCATCCAACCATTTTCTGGTCGAATTATTAGATTAATTATTTAGATAATGCACTCTAGTTTATGGAATAATCTTAAATAGTGTTCGTTTGAATTTAAAATTTGGTTAGGTACTCGCAAACAGAATTATTCATTTAAATAGTGTTTGTAATTGGTTTAAATTTAAAGCTTATTAGTCGCTTAAAATTGAAACAGTGTGATAGCAACCGTTTGGTACGCTTACCCGACAATCTTGATAAAAACATTGAGTTAGCAAGCAACGCGTCGCCTCGACTGTAGCAGGTGTTCGATTTAATTACGTAATACGGCATACCGAGTGTCCGTCGTCCATCGTTGTGCGTTGTGAGATTAATTGTGATTAATAACTTTGTTATAATAATTTAAAATGGCAGTTAGTGGAAATTAATTTAAAATTAAAACGCTTTATGCCAAAAGGGACCTACTTTTTTCACGTATACAAAGCATTAGCGATCACGTCAAGACCATTAATGTAGAAGCGGTGCGGGAAACTTTTCTGAATGAAATTGAAACGGTGGATTCTTTGCGGATGGATTACGAAAGAATATTAGACCAAATTAATCATTTGGAATTACAAATCGACCCGAAATACATAGTGAACTACCAACCGCTGCTGGCATTCGAAGATATGTTGTGTCGCGTGAAAAGAACGGCAAAACTCCTACAATCTCAAAGCGAAGCAAAGCCGGAATTGCAGGTACGTCCTCGTGACTCAATTAGGTTGCCGCCAATAGATATTCCGGTATTCAATGAAGATATGAAGACGTGGCCCTTCTTCTTCAGTAGTTTTCAAAACAATATACACAATAATCCATCGTTATCGGACGCTGAAAAATTATATTACTTAATTAGTAAACTTAGTGGCAGGGCACAGTCGATCTGCTCTGGTTTTACACCTACAGCAAACAATTACTTATTATTATTCGAAACGCTTAAAACTAAATCTAAAGATAGGAGAATGTTAGCTTCCGAATATTTGAACCAGATATTCGATCTTAAATCTATATCATCCGCTAACATCAACGGCTTAGAGCAGTTTCTAGATAAATTTGTGGCATCGGTGGCTGCACTTAAGAATTTAAAATTTAATGACCTTATGGACGTGGTGATTCTCCATATTGCACTAAAGAAATTAGACCCCGACACCGTGCGCGCGTTTGAAATGGAGCACCGTAGCTCGGAGATGCCTTCCTTTCATTCATTAGCATCGTTCGTGCGAGATCAAATAAAGGTGATGCAGCGCTCTCCGAACGTTAAACAGGAGATTAAAAGGTGCGTCGACCGTAGACAGACTCAACCATCTAAAATAGCAGGGTCGTTAACGTACGTAACCGCTACGTCAACATCACTTCAGCATACTTGTATCTTATGTAAAGATAAACACGGTAATTTATATAATTGTGCGACTTTTCGTAAATATTCACCAAGCGAACGTTATAAATTAGTAAAGACAAACAATCTATGTTTGAACTGCTTAAGCGATAAGCATTTAGTTGCAAAATGCAATTCGAGTTCGGTATGTAGCAAGTGCGCCAGGAAACATCACACGCTATTACATTTTGAAAATAGCAACATAGCAGCGTCAAGTAAAGCGGATAAGGAATTCACCCCTACTAAAGTCAACGATTCTAGCGGTCGACCTGGTGATGTCGCTCTGTGCTCATTGGCAAATATGGGAGCACAACCTCCTTCAACCGTGTTACTGGGTACGGCGCGTATTTTGGTTAGGGATTCGCGTGGAAAAGAACAAAGCGTCCGTGCACTGCTGGACAACGGAGCCCAAAATAGCTTTATAAGACGACAATGTTGTCAGCGCTTAGGCTTAGTAATAAATAGGTCACTTTCATGTCATGTAGTCAAAGGCATCGGAGGT